TTTGGTTGGTTGGTTGGTTGATTTGGTTGGTTGGTTGATTTGGTTTGTTGGTTGGTTTGGTTGATTTGGTTGGTTGGTTGATTTGTTTGGTTGATTTGGTTGGTTGGTTGGTTGATTTGGTTGGTTGGTTGGTTGGTTGGTTGATTTGGTTTGTTGGTTGGTTTGGTTGGTTGGTTGGTTGATTTTGTTGGTTGGTTGGTTGGTTGGTTGATTTGGTTTGTTGGTTGGTTTGGTTGGTTGGTTGGTTGATTTGGTTGGTTGGTTGGTTGATTTGGTTTGTTGGTTGGTTTGGTTGGTTGGTTGGTTGGTTGATTTGGTTAGTTGGTTGGTTGGTTGATTTGGTTGGTTGTTGGTTGATTGATTGATTAATTGATTGATTGATTGCTTGATTCTCATGTTACTGTGGATGTGATTGGGAGTGAAACTCATTGGTGAGTGTAAAGTCCGTGTTGATTGTGACCGAACACTAATGGTGATTGTGAGACCCATTTCTGCTGTTTTGGTTGGTTGGTTGGTTGGTTGGTTGATTTGGTTTGTTGGTTGGTTTGGTTGGTTGGTTGGTTGATTTGGTTTGTTGGTTGGTTTGGTTGGTTGGTTGGTTGGTTGGTTGATTTGGTTGGTTGGTTTGGTTGGTTGGTTGGTTGGTTGGTTGATTTGGTTAGTTGGTTGGTTGGTTGATTTGGTTGGTTGTTGGTTGATTGATTGATTAATTGATTGATTGATTGCTTGATTCTCATGTTACTGTAGATGTGATTGGGAGTGAAACTCATTGGTGAGTGTAAAGTCCGTGTTGATTGTGACCGAACACTAATGGTGATTGTGAGACCCATTTCTGCTGTGGTTTCTTTTGAATCACTTTTTAATGCATTCATTATTTCAGCAGCTTTAAAGTGCGTTTCTATTATCACCTGCCTGCTGGTGTTTGTTCAAAGTGTTGCAACTTGTGTGACGTACATTCATATCTTCTTCATCAACAGTTCCTCAGAAAGAAAGAGTGTTTAAAATGTCCAAATCTTGACTTTTTCTCTAGGAATTGATTCTTTTGTGTTGCTCAAACAGGATCATTCAACTAAATTCAGATTTTTTTAACAACAAAAGAAGAACGATTTTATTTCAAACTCCTGTTTTTGTGAACAGGCCTTTTCCACACACAGATGACAGATAATATGCTCTTGAGTTGTATTGTATTCAGCCACAAGTGAAATGGAAGGAAACTGTCAAAGGAAGTGTTTTTCTGCCGTATCACTCTGATGTTATCGCTCTTCTTCTAAACCTGAGCTTCACATTGAGAAACCACGAGAGAGAAAACCACTGAGACTCCAACAGCATGTGCTGCACTCCGACTGTGAGTGATTTTACTGTAGTTATGCCATATATATGTATATTTGAATTGTGCGTATGGTGTGTGTAGATTTATATCAGTGTGTGTGTGTGGATTTATCAGAGTTACAGATCTACAGAATTCATATTCATGAGCTCCAAGATGTCTTTGGCTGCTGAGGTTGTTTTAGGTTTTTTTCTTTTTAAATCACTTCACCTTGTTTCACCTTGTTCTTCACAGATGAGAAGATGAGCGGCAGGAGATCTGTGTGCGTCTTGATCTGTGTCTTCTGCTTCTGCTGTAAGTAAACTTCAGCTCGACTCTGAAACATGATTTTTCCCCAGCACAGGATAAAGATAACTGCGACTTTTTGTCTCATAATTCATACTTTGTTTCTCACAATTCTGACTTTTACACAGTTCTGACAGTTTCACAATTCTGACTTTATATCTCACAACTCTGAGTTTATATCTGTAATTCTGTTTAATTTTCTGAGTTTATTTCTCTGAATTCTGAGTTTATTTCCCTCAATTCTGAGTTTATATCTCTCAATTCTGAGTTTATATCTCTCAATACAGAGTTTATATCTCACAATTCTGAGTTTATATCTCTCAATTCTGAGTTTATATCTCTCAATTCTGAGTTTATATCTCTCATAATTCTGAGTTTATATCTCTCATAATTCTGAGTTTATATCTCACAATTCTGAGTTTATATCTCACAAGTCTGAGTTTATATTTCACAACTCTGAGTTTATATCTGTAATTCTGTTTAATTTTCTGAGTTTTTTCTCTGAATTCTGAGTTTATTTCTCTGAATTCTGAGTTTATTTCCCTCAATTCAGAGTTTATATCTCTCAATTCAGAGTTTATATCTCTCAATTCAGAGTTTATATCTGTAATTCAGAGTTTATATCTCACAATTCTGAGTTTATATCTCTCAATTCAGAGTTTATATCTCTCAATTCAGAGTTTATATCTGTAATTCAGAGTTTATTTCTCACAATTCAGAGTTTATTTCTCACAATTCAGAGTTTATATCTGTAATTCTGAGTTTATATCTCACAATTCTGAGTTTATATCTCTCGATTCATCTCTCATATCTCTCGATTCAGAGTTTATATCTCACAATTCTGAGTTTACCTTTATCTTGCAAAAAAAGTCAGAATTGTGAGAAATAAACACAGAATTGCGAAATAAAAGTCAGAATAACGAAATAGAAAGTTCACAATGACCTATTTTTATTTCTTTATCCTGTGGCGAAAATGGGCTTCCCCAGAAAATACTATATCAGTCTTTATACTTCAAAATTTCATTTTTAATTCAGTGTGTTGCTTGCTGTTTCTTTGTAATTACTGGTGAAATTTACTAGCTGAGAGTTTTTGTACACCAAATTTAATTCAGTGTACATTTAAATCTCTTCATAAATGCTTCTCAGCTTTGAATCTACTGATTTTGTTTGATTTACAGGTGCTTTGGGAAACATAAAGCACACTTTCAGCATTCAAGGTAAAATTCTGACACACAGGAGTATGGTAATATACGAAGAGTGTGAGTTAATGAGTTAATGAGACTGTTTTCCAGAGCTGACGGTGACTCGGGAAGAGCTGAAGGATTGTGGGAAGCAGAAGAAGCTGTGTGTGACGTCTAGCGCGGACTGTCTCTATACAGCATCAGACGGAGCTCCTCGAGTTCCCAGAACATCTGGTACGAGCCTGAAACCGTGCAGACTGGCTTTACCAGCATATTTGCTCTTGATTTGGTTTTAATTGTCGTTTTTGCCCTCAAGAGAACTTCCTGAACACATCATGCCACTATCTGATCCAAGAGGAGTCGTTGACCTGCAGATGGGCTCAGACAAACCACATCAGATCACAAACCATCCGCAGCTTCATTTTCAGCCGGTAACCGTGTCTGACGAGTGTCATCAGTACTGCTGCTGATAATAATAATGAATAAACGCCTCGATGAATCCACCTGTTAATGTCGTTTTTGTTTCACAGAGCTGAGGACTTCTATCACTGTCCCTCTATTTTAAAAATATATTCAACTTTCAATTTAACCATCAAGTCAAAGAGTGTCTTCAGCCAGAAAGAGCAGTTCTCTGACGTCTATCTGCTGGTCATTCAGGATATAAGTAAGAGGACACTTATGGCTTTCATACTGATTTGATTTTAGCATAGAATGGTGGTGATAAATGTGACAGACTCCAGAATGATTGTGTGAATGTTGTAGTCCAGGCTCCTCGGCCGCTGATCTCGTCTGTTAACGTCACTGATTCGTCAATCAACGTCACATGGACCAGCGGGAAAATACCAGTCACTAAATGCAAAATCCGTTACAAACGTCTCAACACGGAGTCATGGGCCGAGGTCAGAAATGACAGAACATGCTTGAAATTATTATTTTTTTTAATTAATTAATTTTCATTTTATTTTTTTTTGTGGAGAAATATCTACCTGTCAGAACTCATAGATAATTAAGATAAAACAAATACTACTAATGCAAAATTTGTATATTATTTATTTATTTTAATGTCAGAATTGCTATAGGTGATTGTCAGACATTCATAGATGATTAAATTAAATTACATTTAAATTATTATCATTATATATTTAGACCAGTTTTATCCAATTAATTCTTAGAATTCTAAAGTATGACACAATCTGATTGATTGTTGACGCTTAAAAAGATGCTTATTAAAGTAAAGAGCCGTGTGTTTGTATCTCAGACTGCAGATTTGCCGTCTTCGGTCGAGTCTCAGTTCGTGATCGAGGGTTTACAGGCCTTCAGTGAGTATCATCTGAGAGTCTCCTGCTCTCACGGATTCGGCCGATGGAGCGACTGGAGCAACGAGACTCGAGTGAAGACGTCAGAGAGCTGTGAGTGACGACAACAGGACTTTAATATGGTTTTCACACAGTCTGCTAATATGTTTGGCCAGTGTTGGGAGGAACGCATTACAAGTAACGCGAGTTACGTAATCAGATTACTTTTTTCAAGTAACTAGTAAAGTAACGCATTACTTTTTAATTTACAAGAGAATATCTGAGTTACTTTTTCAAATAAGTGACGCAAGTTACTTTTTTTTTTCCCAATTTATTGATTGACAGCTCTGGTGTCGCCATGTTGAGAGAAATCAGAAGATGTTACTGTAGTTCTAAAATAGATATGACTATGCATTAATTCCTCTCACAAAAAAAACACAGATTCAGTATTCCTCAAAATGAATAAAAATAATGCAACTCAGAATATGACGCAAACCTGCAATAATTAAATGTTAAACAACACAAATATCCTTTATGTATTTAATCCCATTCTATTTGCTTCTGACCTTCGAAATCCAGTTCAAGCGTACTAATAAGACAAACATTTGTGTCTTTTTCAAGTGTGTTGAAATGTCTTCTTCTGCATTCTACTGTACGGACGTAAATGTACTTTCCCTTCAGCCTGAGGCTTATTCATTTCACTTTTGGTGTGAAAAGGCTTTTATATTTGCCAAAAATATAACTTTTTATTTTAAAAACAAACAAGCAAGCCCTGTCCAGATTTAAAAAGTAACGCAAAAGTAATGTAGCGCATTACTTTCCATAAAAAGTGACTAAATACCGTAATTAGTTACTTTTTTATGGAGTAACGCAATATTGTAATGCATTACTTTTAAAAGTAACTTTCCCCAACACTGTGTTTGGCTGCCGCTGTATTTCTGCTGTCATGTTCTGCATCAGTGTGAAAGTCATCTTTCATGTGTGTTTGCAGTGCCGACTGCTGCTCTCTCTCTCAGTTATTATGTGGATTCAGATGAAAACGCCAGGGTTCGGCAGCTGGTGCTTCTCTGGAAGGTAATATAGCACGTGTGTGTGTGTGTGTGTGTGTGTGTGTGTGTGTGTGTGTGTGCGCGTGGGTGAGTGTGTGCGTGAGTGTGCGAGTGAGTGAGTGTGTTGTGAGAGAGGGTGAGTGTGTGTGTGTGTGAGAGAGTGTGAGTGTGTGTGTGTGTGTGAGTGTGTGTGTG